TCAGGTCTGCAGCATTGATAAGCTGGACAGAAGCACATAAACAGTCTTGTTAGAGAACGGCACAATCCAAAAAAGAAAACCCAAAAAGACGGATGCATGCTTCGGAGGGGGCTGAGAGCATTTCATAACTCCTTCAGGCCACCTCACCAATCTTTCTGTCCTCGATCCCCACCAGCAATTTTTTTTTTGGGCTTTCCAATCCTACTCACCACTCTTGGCAGATGAAACACAAACAGCCCTATTCAAAAATAAACACAGCAATTTTGTGTGTTTACCTTCGATTCTGTGCTCCAAACTGTTCTGTTCCATTTCACGCAGTGAGGAACACCTCGTTTCTTGGCCCACTGTACAGATGAACGGGCAAGATAGCGGGCGCCATTATTCCACACTATCATTTTAATCTCGGCCCGTTTTGCTTTCTGCTCCTTTATAGATGCCTTTTGACCTCGCCAAACTGTGAGGTTCAGTTTACAGATGGCACAAAGTTACATTTATGAAAATTGAAAAGTGGCAAATCGGGTTCCAGATATGAAAAATAGCTGACTTAAAATTCCCTGGGGCCAAACTGTCCCCCTTAACTTGACAGCAACAGTTTGCCACACTGAACTTTAAGCTTGTGAAATCAATGTTATTGGAGGTTTCAAACCATAAGCGTAAAAGATAAAGACTCATTTGTTCCCACACTTGCATACATCAGACCGTAACGCTGGATGCATGCTGCGTTTGGTTTCAAAACCACGTCTGTAACATCTGACTCTACTTCAGATGCTAATTCCCTGTAACTGCAAAGGAACCTCATGGCAACACTGAGAAAAGTGTTCAGGATTAACACGTAAGCAGGAGCTGTGACCAAGGACAAATGGTACGCAGTCGCTTCTGTTTGTCAGTCTAGCATCCGCAGTTTTCAACATAGCGTTTTCAGATTTTGTGTGATGGTAGACATCAATACCAGCTCGAGCTGATTTAATTTGAGTGAAAATCAGATCAATGTCAAGGTCACACCAAAGGTGAAAACCTGTAAAAACGTTTTATTTAAAATTTTTATGGATCCTCTACTTGACCTTGGTCGTGTCCAAATTCATGGGCTGCATCCTCCTGAGG